GGTTTGATAGAGATGGGAGCACACGGTGCGCCAAGTCCTAGTCCCTACTACCAAGTCTTCCCAATTTTCCCTCCTCAAGTCCTACTATGTCTACAGCTGACCCCCAGAATGAATAAGGCAGCTGTTTTATGACTTGGATATCTCTCATTGTATGCTCCTCTGTGCAAAATGATATTACACACTTTATAGTCTGGCCAGTTCCTGGGTTATTTTTACACAGAAAGGACACCATATTTAAAACATAGTGTTATGTAAGACTGTTGTTTCCCCACGTCATACCAACTGAATCATAGTTTAGGCCAAAAGAAGTAGCTTGGCATAGTCAAAAGAATAAAAATTCAATCCTGCCCGTCCCTTTCTACCTGTGCGATCTTAGATAAGGAACTTAGACAAGCCTCTGTTTTCTAAATGTAAAATGGGGATAATAATACCCACCCTTGCTCAAGATGGACGCTTGAGCACATGCATTTATTTCCACTTCCTCCTAGGATTCAATTAAAATTATAGTAAAGTAATATACAAAGTGCAATGCCAAAAAAAAAAAAAAAAACAAAACCAAACAAACAAACAAAAACAACCAGTTTAGAGAACAAAAGGATAAGTAATTTTGACAAATTTTTGGAAGAAAAATGCATGGAAGAACTCTGAATAGAAGATACTTTAGCTCAGGATATGCTTGGAGCATCCTGCAAATGTCAAAGAAGTCTTCATGGGGTGGAAACCTACAGAGGTTGGGAATGCAGGGAAATTATTGAAGTCAAGACAGTGAAGACCTAAGAAATGGTCATTCTCCACACTGCTCAACTCTGGTCCTAAGAATCCCCAGAAAGTCCCAGATGTTGGGCTTTAAACAAAAAGCCAAACAACCAATAAATAATGAGAGGAAATTTTTCGAAGACATTGGAGAATCTTTCTGAGGAAATCTGGGCAGCTAGAGTTGTCTTTCGTACTCCAGCATAGGCTACATGTATCATACATTCTGGCATTGTGGGGAATTCCAGGAAAATGATACATCTCTGCTACTCAACCTGGAAATTCTACTCAATCAGCAAATTCTGCTAATGTGCTTAGAGTTACCAGCCAGTCTTGTTTTTTTTTTTTTTTAAAAAAAAATTTTTTTTTTTAACTTTATTTCTCCAT